GTCTGATATCCAAAAGGGTGTCACTTACAGTGATCGGGCTGAAAAAGCGCATCTCTAGCCCAAAGAGGCGATGCTGAACCACTTTCCCAGTGCAGGAAGTCTACTGACCCCTGGAGGACAGGAAGTGACATAATGTAATGTGATACTAATCAGTGTAGTGGTCTTGGGAGAAGTTTTGGCTTTTATTTCATTTGATATTTAATTTAGGGAATTTGGCCAAATAATCATTTGCACAAATAGAATAAATTTTTATAATGGTTCCAAGCAAGAGTTAGCTTTTCTGAAAGGGGAAATGTTATATATAAGGATGAGTCAACAGCCCAAACTAAAGAGGGTAACAGCATTTAACCCCCAAACTGCAATCCCAAGGCCACTACTTCGGTTTTATCTTGTTTATGTTTATTTTTCTTAATACTCTTAATCATCAGTTATAGCAGTGTTTTGCATCTATCGGCACATCTGCTTTTTATGACAGATGTAGGTTTACGTCACAATTCTGTTTGACAGTGAGTTCCAAGAGGCTTGGTATCTGAGGCCACGTTGTGAATATTAATAATAAAAGCAGTTACTCTGCATAATTCTCTTCTGGAGGATATTAGACGTCATGTGATTCTCTTATCAAGTTGCTACTCTCTTCTTGGTCCATGAGCTAACTCCGCCAAAGCTTAGTCCCTGGGGGTTGAGACACTCTCCAACCTCATCGCTCGGGTCTCATCACTTCTGGAGTTGTTTAATTACACACTGCAGAATCCATTCACCAGTCACTTCCTGTTTGCATCATATGCCACTATGTCACTTCCTGTTTGTAGCTGTGGTCGTGGCTTAGGAAAATTCTCAAACCTGCCCATGTGTTTACTGTCACACAGGACGGTCGGCCCTTTACCCCCAATTTCTCCAAGGACTCTCTGACAGGGACTGTCTGACCTTTGGATAAAAGTTTCCACTAATTAAATAAAATGTAAGCTGACGGGTGCAGAGTGACAAGCTGTCTTCATGTCTATAAGTGTGGCCTCTTGCCATCGTTGCTCCATCTCCCATTACCGAAGGTATATGTCCTTGTCCTGGCCGGGTACAGCAAGGCGGGTATCAAGCAGCCTGCATTGCCCTGCCCCTTCCCACTGCCAACTTTTCACCCTGTACATTCTGTTCGCTTTAGTGCGAGTGCATATCATGCAAACACACTCAGCTCCGGTAGTAGGTGCACTGATCTGCCTTTGATTTAAAGCTCTACTTTCATCTAAATTCACACACTGGGCTATTTTGCAAGACTGGCAGCAACTCTAATTACCCAAGATGATAAATAATTTAAGGAAATGACAAAAAATGGCCAGAGAGGCATAAATCCTGACACATCGACACACACTTTTCCCATCGTTATCATTGTGATGGATACTGGTTTGTTCTGTATATCCTTACGACAGTCAAAGTGGTGGTGTTTACTACCACTCAAACCACACATTTGCATGGGGCCCCCTGTTGGCCAGGAACAGGCACTGCACTAAATTAACAAACCACATTCCTTACTTAAGAGATGCTGAAGCAGCATGATCTGCGAACCAGGCAGCTAGCAGGTGGGGGAGGGGGGGGTCTTTTCACTGGAGCCCCAAAAATAAGCCTGCCCTTTGCGAGGGTGGGGTCTGCTGATATGTTTGTGTAATTTCACGTATCTTACATTACCAAAATAGAAATAATCATCCATCTCAGACAATAATCCATGTGGAAATGACCGGTAATAGGATTTGTTCAGTCTGTTGGAGCTCTGGGATAACAAGGTCACTGCCTATTTCCTGTTTTCGTCCCATGGTTATATGCATTTTTAACACGGCGTCATGCCCCCATCCGGACCCCCCCATTTGGTTAAGGGCACGTTACATCACTTCCTGCTTTTTTGACCTCCATTCACTTCTCCCTGCACAAGACAAAACGTTCTTCACAGCTGTCTCCCTCATACTTATAATAACTGCATTATTATGCATGTTTACATTAATTATATTCATTTGCTCGTTGTTATTGTTTATTTGTTCATTATTCGAGGCCTGTACAGAGGGTCGAAATATATTCCTAAATTTCACATGTTGAATCACCAGCAATAATGTTTCTCAACCCCAGGGTGGGATTTACCCCGACCCCTCTGCCGCGCTGTCACTCTGCACAGGTCTGTCTGCCCCTCGCAGGACCCCAGGCCTTGCTGCCCCCGTTAATCACACGTGACTGCAGACCGAGACGGTCAAACAGTGATGCTCTGGTCTCCTCCCCGCAGGGCATCCCAGCAGGCCGGGCTTTCTGAACTGGAGGTCATCTCCCAGCCTGTGGAGGAGGAGAACCAGTGCATGGCCCCACTGCAACTGGTCAGCTTCGCCTACCGGGACCTGCCACTGGCCGCCCTGGACCTCTCCCTAGCAGGATCCCAGCTGCTGTCCAACGTCGACGAGGAGGACGCCAGAGAAGGGTAGGGCCCTGACCTGCTGCACATCTGGCGCGGGGTCCACAGCCAGCAGGAGCTCCATAGCAACACCGCCGTCATTTAGAGGCGTTTGCCTAAAGTCTCAGGATTATACAGCTCAGGAAAAAATGAAGAGACCACAGCAAAATTTTCAGTTTCACTCATGTCTCAATTTATGGGTGCGCGTCTGTGAATAATATATATTTTTTTGTAAACTCCAGCCTAGCTCTCCTCAGCTTCTCATTGATGAAGGGCTTCTTCCTTGCTTTATAGATGTTCAGTCCTGCTTCTTGCAGCCTGTTATAAATTGTCCTAGCAGTGCACTTCACAACACTCAATGTTTCCCATTCTTTTTGAAGGTCACTTGAGATCATCCTCCAATATATGAGGCCCTGCCGGAAAAGCTGACAGTCGTCTCTGACATTAGAAAGTCACTTCTGCCTTCTCCCTGGCTGGTTTCTGGTCTCTCCCAGTGTCTCCTGCTTCACCTTGTTCTTGTGTACTGCTGTCTTTCTTACTTTGAGCCTGGAAGCAGCCTGCTTCGCAGTGTAGCTTTCTGCCAGCAGAGCCAGGTTTAAACCAGGATTTAAAAATGCAGATTTTTTTTAAATATGGTGGTCTCAATTTTTTCCATAGCTGTATATATTAATTGTTCTGTAATATCTCTTTCAGGAAGATGGTTTGCTGTTAACTCAGCTATTAAATAACTCACCTTAGTACCAGGATACTTTATCTGGCAGATTATGTTAGACATTTTTACAGCTGTGCAGTTAGAAATTATCTGCAGAATGAAATGTGACGTAGCTCTTAATGTTAGTGAGTGTTTCCCATGTATCTCTGCCTGTTTGTGCGCTGAGGGTTTTGTCCTGGGACATTTTGTCATTATTCAGTCGCCGATGCTGCTGTGACTTGGGTGATTCGATAAATGTATTTTTCTTGTTGAAACATCTCCCCCCCCTATTCTACCGTATCCGTTTTGGCTTTGGCTGCTTTTAGCACCTTATTAGTAGTGGGCTGTCATGGTTCTAGTCCGCGAGACTCTCAGCCCACACAGCAGGGGGCGCTCTTCCTGGCACATCGTCGACAGCGAGTCCCCGCGACTCTGTCCGGGAAGTGTGACTCACCTCCCCGTCCCCCCTTCGCGGATAAACACCATAAGCTTTATCACACGGCCCAGCACACCGTCCAGGTGCTCCGTTTGTCACCGAATCAGTCCCCGCTCCGCTGATCTCTCCGACCCCCCCGCCATCCCCGATGCGGACGGCCGTCAGCGTGTATGGTGATCCGATTCCCGCTTTCTAACACGGAGGGAACCCTGTGCAGTTTTGCAGCAGACCCTACAGCGGCTTGGAAACACTCATGATGTTCTGTGGGGGGGTTACCTTGTGACACGGTGAAGGCAGAGAGAGCACGCGGTGTGTGTATATGTTTCTGTGTGTGTGTGTGCATGCTTTTATATATATGTGTGTGTGTGCGTGCTTATATATATATATATGTATGTGTGTGTGTGTGTGTGTGTTATATCAGTGACAGACCGGCATCCCCTCCCATGTCTCCTGGTCCGCTGCCCTGTTCTGCCCACTTTTGTCCTTCCTCATATGAATTATGGGTAAAAGGTATGAGTCCCGCCCCATATTGCCGACAGCCCGTAAAAGGGAAAGATGCAGTGCCCCGAACCTGCAGCGATCTGCCTAAATAAAACCATGAGTTTCACGACGTTTTTACGGGAAGGATGGGAAACGCCTGCTGCAGGTTTAGCGTAGCCTGGAGCTGCTCCGCCTGCCCGGTGGAGCCTGTCGACGTGCGCGGCGGCTCGTTTTACGGAAGCCGCGTGTCCTCGCGGACAGTGCCGGTACTCGCTGCGTCGGCACTTTGGGCGCGGCGGTAAGCAGAGGGCGGTTATTAATAGGCGTCCGCCGATCTATCTTCCAGTCAGAGGGGGCGTGGCCCGCGCTCGCTTTTCTCACTGCCGTCTTGTGGGGCTGTATTTCTGTGCATTTTGCGTCTTCCTTTTTTTTTTTAACTTCTTTTGAATTTTTTAAAAAATGAACTCACCCTTTAAGATAGAATTCCCTGAATTCTGGCCTGGAGGGCCAGTTTGCAACACAGTTTGCAGAGTATTTCCCTGCTCAAACACACCTACCAAACCTGAAAATTGGCTGGCGAGCTGAATAAGGTGTCTTTAATGTTAAACTGTGTGGCAAACTGGCCCTCCAGAAACGGATCTGAGGGGCCCTCCAGGGGCCTCCGATACAAGGATGAGGAGTAAGACTGGAATGAGAAATGGAGTGGAACTCCAAAAAAAGAGCCTCTTATGGCCCCTAAGTAAGCAGTCGCTCCCTGTTTGCTTAAGCTGTGATCATCTCTGCCGAGCTTCTGTTCTGGGTTATTAACTGCACTGTACACACGCTGTATGCACTCTAATCCCCAGCGAGGATAGTGTTTGTGATACGCTTGTTGGTTGTTCGCGATGATTAGCTGGATCTCTGGCTCGTAAACGATGTGATTAATGACTGTGTCAGGCAGATAGTGTTTACTGCCACCTAGCAGGGCTCAGTGGATGGGTGCTGTCTGAGGGGGGGGGGGATGCTGATAGCAGTGTACTTCTCCCCCCCCCCCATCCCCAGGTTGCCCTCTTCCAGGATTGCTCCATCATTGCTGCAGCAGTGAAATTTGATTAAACACAGTTCCATAGCTGAGGGGGTATGTTGGCGCTGCACATTGAAATATGTAATAATGTATGGATTTGTGACTTCAGTAACCTGTATAGTAGGATGTCATGGCGATATCAAATGAAGGTGTAACCGTGCGTATGGTGACAGAAGCCAGCCATCGCTGTGGTGCCTCGTAATAAGATGCAGATCCTCCCCAGCCCCAAACCCTCTCACCGCCCCCCCACCCCCCCTAACGAGCAGTAATGAGTCCCACAAGTGCGGCCTGCACAGCCTTGCCGAGATGATGTCATGGCTGCCAGGAGCTGAAGATGCAGCATATGCGGGTAATTTCTGCGCAGCTCATGCACACGGGCAGGCAGGCTGGTGGTGCGGACCGTGGACAGATGGCCCATCTGGGTCAGCCTCCTGGGGGGCAGAGGAAGGTGTGCAGAGCAGCCCCCCCCCACCCCACTCCCTTCAAATAACCTTGAAGGCATCTAGGGTTGCATATTTCTGTAGATCCATCCATCCATCTGTCTTCAGACAGCTTCCCCTGGTCAGAGATTATTTTAGACAGGTTTATGAAATGCTTTATTTATGGACACGTTTCTTGGTAGGGTTTGGGGTGGGATTTGGATAAGTCACCAAATAGCATTTAATAACTGCACAGTAATAGGTGAATGCGATTCATGTCATTTCAATTAACATACGTATTTTATAAATGAATTGCATTATTGCTTGTTTGTTTCAAATGTTCTCAGTTAATAGCACCATTGCCTCAGGGATTTTAATCCCACCACCGCTTTCTATGTGTGGAGTTGGTGTGTCCGCTGTGTGTGTGTGTGTCCTCTGTGTGTGTGTGTGGAGTTTGTATGTCCTCTCTGTGTCTGTGTGTGTCCTCTGTGTGTGTGTGGAGTTTGTATGTCCTCTCTGTGTCTGTGTGTGTGGAGTTTGTGTGTCCGCTGAGTGTGTGTGGAGTTGGTGTGTCCTCTCTGTGTCTGTGTGTGTGGAGTTTGTGTGTCCGCTGAGTGTGTGTGGAGTTGGTGTGTCCTCTCTGTGTCTGTGTGTGTGGAGTTTGTGTGTCCG